AAGAACTCTGATTCTAGACTATTTACAGGGAATAATATAGTCACAAATAATTTACAAAGTACATTCTATGGTCCAGGCACTATCAGAAACACTTTACAGATTTTATTTAACAGGGAAAAAGTCATGATGTGACTATGTGTGGCAAATTTTTTTAACTATCTCTTAACTTTAGTCCACCTATCTGTCAGTGATTCATTTCTGTTCTTTAGAGATGGTCTGAGTTGATCTGAATATCTCAAATGGATCCGAAGTTCTGTTCAAATGGTCTATGACCTTTGCACATTTTCACCAAGGATCAAAAGTCTCACCTTATCAGGAATGGTTGACTTTGCACCCACACAACAATTAGAGAATAAGGGTACCACACAGCAATTGTCAAACACGTTGACCCAAGAACTTCTAAGGGCATAATGGAAAATTTTTTCAACCCTATATGCCTGCTAGTGTGAGACACAGAGGTGCATTGAAGAAATAGGTGGTAGCTGCAATCTAGGATTAAAGTCCCAAGTGGCAAGTTACAATCACAAGTGTCCTGTTCTATCTTATAGTTTTAAGCAAGTATGAATTGTGTTCTACAGTATACCCTTTTGTTTGTTTGTTTGTTTGTTTGTTTAGTCAGCTTTTTCTTGTTTTCTTTTTTTTTAACTTTTTTTGGCGAGACAACTCTTGGTTGACCTCACAGATTGCAAGGACCTTGTCAGCTTACAAACCCTTTTTTTTTTTTTTTTTTTTAAACTTTTTATGCCTGTAGCACCTGGTCTTCCTAAGTGGTCTCTCATCCAAGTACTAACCAGGCCCAACCCTGCTTAGCTTCTGAGATCAGACGGGATCAGGCTTGTTCAGGGTAGCATGGCCGTAGACTTTTTTTTAAATTTAAAATAAGGATTCAACACACGCGCATGCGCGCTCTCCCTCTTTCCTCCCCTTCTCTCTCTCTCTCTCTCTCTCTCTCTCTCTCTCTCTCTCTCTCTCTCTCTCTCTCTCTCTCTTTCTCTCAGTAGAATTATCATTCTTTGAAGAAGCCTCCTGTTCTCCTTGGTTTCATATTTCTCTCCCTAATACCTTGAAGAGTATTTATGGTTTGAGAACTCTAAGTCAAATCTTTTCTAATCAAAACTCTCTTCTATTCTTTAACATTCAGTAGGGTATTCTTAAAGTATGACTGAAGGTCATCTATTAATGAAAAACAGAATCATATATGTATCAAGTCTTATTAAGTAGTACTTTTACTAAAGATTCTGTTATTTTTGATGCTAACGTCTTTAACTTACATTCTTTTCTAGTACTTGAAACTATTAAAATTAATTAAAAAGTTTTAATTATATTATTTACTGTTACAATTTGCTTTATGCTATACATCCATTGCTGTTACTGGTGAGAGCTATAATAACACTGATCTGAGTGCTTTTATCGATTAATAGTTCAAGACATGTTGAGTATCTAACTGAATTTTAGTTATGAGGAATAGGTGAAAAGTTCCTATCAAGGGGATGTCAATTTGGCTTCTAGAGGCAAACTTTTCCGACTAACTGCTACTACTATTTAGTAATTGATCCTGATAGCAGTGAAAAGTTAAGAGGAGAAGATGTGCAGAGCCTAAACAAAAAGAACCCCTCAAGTGATACAAAATGTCCAGGAAACAGGAAAACGGAATGGCACACAGTGGTAGGAACATTGTTTCAACCTAGTGACGAATTCTCTCTCATTTGGCCAAAAAAAGAGGCATAGAACTTAAATGTACTAGATAGATGCCAACTTTGAGACTTGACAGAGAGGCAAACTGGGAGATTTTGCTCATCTAGTGGTAAGAATACCTGTATGTCAATTTTAATGGTAGTTATTTTATAGAGGGATATATGTTAAGTGCCCAGAGAAAGCAACTAAGTATATATTCATTCATTTACATTTGGTTCATTTTTGTTTAATTAGTTACCAAGCATTTTACCTTAAACATAGCTGGGACTCAAATAATCCATCCACTCATTCATGCAACATATACAGTATTTATTAAGCAGTTACTTTATTCTAGTGATGGAGGATATAGCAGTGATGAAACACAGCCTGCATGGAGCTTACATTCAGCTCTCTCCAAGATGATTGCAATCTCTGGCTGAGAAATCAGTGAATATAAAATGTAGTTGTCAAGTGCCCAGACTCTGGAGCCAGGTAGCCTTGGTTTGAAAGTGTGCTCTGCCACTTTCTAACTGTGCGATCTTGATCAAGTTTCTTAACCATTTTGGAACCCAGATTTCTTATCGATAAAACGG